TACAATTTGTAGAAATTGCTAATCAATTTTCAAGTTATAAAGACGATCCATTTTTCTATGATATTGTTTGTACAATGGAAGACAAGTTTCGAAAATATGCCAATGATTTTTCCAATTGCAGTTGTAATAGATCATCGTATTAAATTTTTTGGAGTTCAGTGTGCTATGGACCAACTTTCTAAAGCTTTATCTTTCAATATAAGTATTACAAATCGGGAAATAGAATGTTTTATTAATGAAATGTACAATAATTATGCTATGAAATATGGTAATAATAAAAATGTTCATTCTAATACAAGTTCTGCTACAGCTTTTAAAGGTAAAAGTTCTTTCTTTTCTTTAATAACCAAAAAATGCGATGTTTTTTTACTTCATCTACTAGTTCATTTTCAAATGAGAATGTTACACCAGCTGAATTAGAAAGATATTATCAATTTGATTACTACAGTTTAATTCCACAAGACGAGGTTGACAACTTAGATATTTTACAATGGTGGAAGTTAAATGAACGGTCATATCTAATATTATCAAAAATGGCCCGAGATCTACTAACAGTTTCAGTCTCAACAGTGGCATCGGAGTCTGCTTTTGGTGCAGGTAATAGAGTACTAGATGAAAGAAGATCAAGACTTAAAGAAGATATTTTAGAAACTCTCATCTGCGTAAAATACTGATTATTTGCAGATAGAAGAATGTAAGATAAAGTTGCTGACGATATTGCTCAAGACTTTAAAAATCTTACCATAGATGAATAGAATTTGATTTGTAATGAGAAAATTATAGTTAAGTAGGTACCAACCTAGTTGAGATGTACTTTAACTATAAGTTTATAAATAGTTAAAAACTGTTTAATTTGTCAAGTTAGGCAAAATATTGTTCGAAAAATGGTAAGTTTTTATGTTATTGATCTAAAATTTATCGAAAAATAAACCAATGTAAAATTTATTTTTATGTAACTTTTATCGATTTTCACTCTAATTATAAAATGTGATTTTTACCATTTATTTTTTAAATGACAAAAAAAAAAAAAAAGGGTCGAGCGGGTCGAACGGCCCGAACCAATGACCCGGCCCATGCGGGCTTTGCGGTCTGGGCCGGGTTACACGTTTTTTTTTTGGGCCCGGCTCGGAAAGCCCGCATGGGCAGTTTTTTTTAAAAGCGGGCTGTGCACGGGCTTTTTAGTGTGCGGGTCGGGCTGCCCGTTTTGACATATCTAGTTATGGGAGTAGACCGTAAGTCCTATTTAACTAACTCTGTTTTTAAATAGCATATTCTATCATTTGAAGAGTATCTATAAATTTAGAGAGTTAAAATTTTGAAGAGTAATGTTATTCATAGTCGCTCACTGTATCAGTCGCCTTATGTGGCACGCACATGTCAAGTGTGTATTTGATGCATTAACACTTAAATTTACTACTTCTAAAAAATATCTATTATTTTTCTTTATCTTTTATTTTAACTAGCTTTTTTTTAGATTATTTTATTGTTTTCGTACATTGAAAATTGAAACACTTTGATTGCATTTAATTATAAAGAGTGGGATCTATTCACTCTCTAAATTAAAATGTTAATTTAAAGAGTCCCTTGAAATATGATTTTAAATGTTGACTCTTTAAAATATAGAACATATCATATTTAAAGAGTCTCTTGGAGATGCTCTTATATCTTATTTTTACACGATAACTGAGTTCAGGTTTGGTCGCATTCGATTCCTTCGATTGAAGTTCTAAATATTAGATTTTAAAATGTGCAAAAAGCTAGAGCCAAAATTATTAAACTAAATTAATCTAAGGGTCCGTTTGATTGCAAGAGTGAAAATGGGTGGAAAGAAAATGAATTTCAAATAAAGTAATTGTCTAAAACTTATTTTTCAGGAAATTGTTAATTAAGTGTGTTTGATTAGTATAATTTTTCACCCAAAATATTTTAAAAATTTGGATCTTTTTGTGTTCATTTGACTTTATTTTACATGAAAATTGTCCATTAAAGTGATAATTTTTTCATAATTTGTTATAAAATATGTTTTTGTTCCCCAAAAGTAAAAAATAAAAAATAAAAAAAAATATTTCCTAGAAAATCATTTTTCATCAAAGTTTAGTGTTCATTTGGCTTTGTTTTATATGAAAATTGTCAATTAAAGTAAAATTTTTTTTACAATTGATTATGAAATTTGTTTCCATTGCCAAAAAATAAAAAAATTTTTTTTAAAAAAGGCTGGACTTCCATTCCCACCCCCAAAGATGGGAAAAACAATTCAAGTAAATCCAAGAAAATAGGCGCGTGAGGAGCCAATGTGGAAAACCAAATGTTAAGAAAATTATTTCCATTAAACATTACAAAACTTGAAAAATGAAATTATTTTCCATGGAAAAGGTAATGTATCAAACACAGCCTAAGAGAAGTATAAAACATGAATAATACAGAATGGAAAATAATTGTTTTTTTAATCATACATGCATTTCTAGTATACTAGTGTTGGACGTGTGTTGCACGACTCGACGTCAAGTGTATGTATTGGTAATGATTATGTTGGGATAATTTTGAATCTAAAAAGTGAAAACGGAAAAACGAAATTGGGCTATATATTGGGTCTTCTTTTATATATTTCGTTGGACTGTATATTTGAGGTGGATATGAATGAATAAAAGTGTTCTATGTTTAATAAATAAGGAAGGTTTTGTCTTATTGAAGTAGAGGACAGGTGTAGAGAACATGTGTATGTGTGACCAGAACTGGTCCCTTGTATTGTTTGCGTGTGCAGGTGGCATGTGAATGGTTGTGTGAGCTATAAAGGGATTCATTGTGTGGAAGTTTGGTGAACCATATCTGCTTTTTTATCACTTCTATCTGAATTTGGCAAGCAGGTATGGATGAGTTGTTGGAGGCTGGGTTGGAGGTACACAGTGAAGATTATGAGGTTTTTATGTATGTTCTGCTTGACCCTTTGTCTTACACATGCGCATTGAACATGGGAGACGGTGCTATCGAGGATGAAATTTGATCTTTGGTTGATTGTTCCATATTTAAGATTGAACACATCCTCTTCTTTCCTCTTCATGATATATTTTTATTGGTGAAAAAGTGAAGTATGGAGAGTCAAGGCAGTGCAGAGGTCGATTTAATTAGCAGACGAATAATTGATTCCTACCTTTGGACTATGCCAAGGAGCAAACCGCAGAGGTTCGGTGCATATCTTCGAGGGAGGGGCGTTCATGACTGAGGGTTGTTTTCTTGTGTTACCGTCGCTGCTGTTATCGTTGAGCATGCTGTATTGTATAAGTTGATATGTGTAATGTTTAAGTTTCGTCTTAATAATAAGTGATGGTTTGTTGTCAACGAGACGTGTTTTTGTTTTGAGTCCCAGCAAAGTTGTATTCATGATGGGGGAGTGTTTTCGAAAGATGTAGTAATTAAGGTTATATTTTGGTAAACCTGTTAAAAAAGAAAAATACGTTTTTTAAGATCACAATGTTTTTAAAAAGAAGAAAACATATTTGGTAAAATTTATTTGTCTAAAAATATTTTATTTATATAATATTGAAAGGAAAAAAGAAATATCTACTGTATTGTACTATATTTATATTTATATAGGTTGGATGTAATCCAATCTATATTAATCCCATGTGTATGTGTTTTATTTAGACAGGATGGATTTAACCCTATATTTGACGCTGAATTCATTTTCAATAGCAAACGGTTTTATATGGACAACCTACATGGTAACATGAAAAATACAAAGCAAGTATGATACATAAGTTCTTCATCAAATACTATCATATAGGATTGTTAGTTTTGTATATGAGTGACAACAATCACAGGCTTAACAAAGATTGTAATGTAGGCTAGTGTAGTCATTAAAAAATAATATTAATAAATAAATTGTCATTGGCAACTCAAGAATTATGCAATTGAGCACAAACCCCCAAAATTAGTCTAAATATGCTAAATGCATAAAGAAATATGAATTAATGGTTCAGTAAAGTTTGATATATAAATGAAGTTAACCGAAAATGAATTCCAGTTTCAATTATCTTCGTTGGTTTGTACGTTAATGTAATGCTAGGTACTTCCAGATGAAAGGAAATAGAAAAAAAAGAAAAAAAAAATGATAAATTTGATAAGATATTTGTTAGAGGGTTGTACAAGCGACCAAGATCTCTTGAGTTGTACCAAAGATGGAGGCAAAAGTTGATTTCGTTGAACATCGATTTAGGGCGAAGTTGGTATACCAAATTATAAGTAGTAATCACACTTTATATCGAATATAATCATATTTATAATTTGGATTAGAAGAAGAAAGATTTCCAGCAACTACCATGTTCAACAACGTTTAGAAATTAACATAATTTGATTTGGATATTAGTTGTTGATGTAGTGAAACAACAATTATTTATCATTATTTATGTATTATATAAAAATAACACAGAAGTAATGTGAATGAAGACATAACTGTAGGACAGGAATTAGAACAGAAGTTAGGTGCATTGACATAAGGTCATTCAAGAGAAAACAGTGATGGAGTATTATTCAGACAGAAACTGTTGCTAAAGTCGAAGGAAAACGACTGAGTAAGTATGAGGTAGCTAGTTTTAGATGATATGGTTTCCTCATACTTGAACAAAAGAAGAGATAAAGTTCCTTAACAAAAGAGGCCACTGTTTGCTTCGCTAACATATATACAGAGAGGGAAATAAGATCCAAAACGTTTAGCAGTAACATGCTAAGAATTGTCAAAGCTGGTCATCGGTTGCAGAAGAAGGTGAAGTTGCACCTTTAGCAATGTGCCTGGCATCGGCTAATTTCATTTTTTTCGAGTGTTTGTCACCTTCGTGAATAAACTGTAGAGATCTTCTAGTAGAAGCACTCGTTATTCCCGAATTAGTAGCTGACAACGAAGACCCCAAAGGAGGTGTGTTGTCGGATTCATTTACGCTAACTTCTAGCGGTATATGTGTTGGTTTAGTGTTTTCTGCTATGTACATAACACTATACCTTGGGTCTCAGGTTTTTGGGTTTGGGATTCCACTCTTTACATAAACAGAATGTTCCACATTGGTGTACTTTAAATGATAATTGGAATCCGAGTCTATGTATTCCTGTATGAACAACATAGTGCAAAGTGTTTAGGAAAAAAACCTTCCAGTATTTTTAAGCGCATAAATAAATGCGAATATGCAAGGAAAAATTGGAATGGAAAAAGGTGAATGAGTTTATTCTCACATACATTACGCTGTACATTGATGAGATGTTCCGAGGTGGTTCCCAGGAATTGTTCCGCCACTGGACAATAATAGATGCTTGGAGAGTTCCCGTGGAGTCACGTAGGTCAACATCGCAACGTGCCCTTTGCGAAGCGAAATAAGGATTGAAATAAAAAATGTAATAATCTATTTGAAATATGAAAATGTGTGTGCATGTGAAGATTTGTGCAAAATGACTAAGGAAACTGTCGTATTTTACCTCTGTATGGAAATTGGATGTTTATGCAAACAGTAATTACAACTGTAAACTTCACCCAGATTACCAGATGCTCCTCTGGCGCACAAGCTGCATGCCATGTAATATAAAGGATTGGTAGGATTTTTCAAGGAGATTGTCGTACTGACCCAGAATTTAGTTCCTTGAGAATACTACAGTAAGAAGAAGTAAATTTTGTTGTTTAAATACAAATGCTTTATTTGTATGCTAAATAAATCTTAAAATATAAGACGGACTGAGATGGGTAGACTTACTGAAGAAAGGTGTTCCAATATATGTTTGATAGGAATCAACTTGTTTTGTGGAGTGCAAGAAGTGGTTGTTGAGTTAATCAATACATAATCCTTTGAAGCGATGCTCTACATCATTTTAGTACATGACTGCACCCTATAAAAGAACGTAAAGAAATATTTGTATTAAGTATAAGAATCCTATAACAGCATAATTAATTTAGAATTGATATGTAATATGATGGCAAGTATATTTATTGATGAAAATAAAATATGTCCTACCAATTCAGTAAAATGGCGTAGTTTTTGGAATGTTGGATTTATAATCAGCGATGAACCTGTCTTGGTCGATAAAGAGATGCCTATAATATTTTAAAATATATATATACAGCGAGATATTTTCGGGAAATATGGATGACATGATTAAAAAAACGGCATGAGTAGATATGAGTTTTTATACAGTACCGTTATAGGTCGTAACCTTCAAGTGATTTGCGATGAGAACTGTTCTTTTCATCTGAAGATCAGCTAGCTGTGAGCCCTCATTTTTGGCTAGGATGTCCCATAACGTGAGTGTAATTGCTTGTAGACTGCAGTAGAATGCCAACAAAAGATGTTAAGTTAAGGTAAATGAATTATTCAAGGGATTGGACATTAAACTGGGTCTGTGAAGTATACTAAAGAAGGAAAACTGAGTACATAACTTTCATCTAAAAGAACGACATTGAGGGCCTTGCTACTCGTGCTCCAACTGTTGTGGACCTCTCTAATTGGGCCAACATCAACGACAATTCCAAAAACTCCTACATGCATTAATAATTTTTTATAAGAAATCCTAGTTTATCAAAAAATAAAATGTCATGCATTAAGAAACGATTGGACAATAATGCATCAACCACAACTACATTTATAAAGGTTTGTGTGAAGTAAAAGGAGAAATATTGCAGTCTTAATTATGAAGTTAAATGAGAAATAACGGTGTGTAATTCTATTACACATTATAAAGAAATATAAGATATTTTATAAAAGATCAATGGAAAAAATAAATTCTAAATTGAGATGAATCTCTGTTTTTCTTTCTTCATATCATGATTTTCAGGTGCAGTTGGAGCTTCTTTATATCCGTAATGGCATGGAAAATGGATTTACCAATCCTTTTGCCCAGGAGTTTTGAATAATTTCATTGGACAATGTTATTAAAAGTGGTAATGAAGATAATGGTGGTGAAGTCAAAAGAAGGGAGGTAATTGTGAGAAGGGCACTTTTTGTTACTGTGATATGAGCTGAAGACTTTGTGCCTACGGACCTTACGGGAAATAAATGTTTCTAAGGTAGGATAACTGAATATACAAGTACAGAAGTGGTCATTAAATAAGTGTTTCTATCATGGCATTTTATATTATACTAAGCAGTAAGAAAGCGACAAATCTCGTAAGAGGGTTTCGTATTTTTATTTACTAGAACACATAATACGGGCAAAATGATATTTTGGGGGTATTGCAACTTGTTCAAGGGAAAGGGACTTTTGACAAGAGATTTGAAATTGCGTTTTTACATACCTAATTCTTTGTCAGAACCTATGTGTGCATGTAACTCATGGAATGGAGTAAATTCGTAGTGAGCCTCTGCCAATGAACTGTAATCCTCTTCAATCTCTTCGATGTGTGAAGAATCGCTTAATATCCACTGTGTGGCTCCTATACTGGATTGCATTCGTTCAGATGATCGCCTGACCTTTGCCTTTGATATCGAATACGAGTGGAATGAGAGTTGCCTGTAGTGCCCTAATATTTATATCATCGAATATTGTGGCCTGAATGCTGTTCGACTGCAACATGTTTATGTATATAAAATTAAATTAATGGGAAACCGAAGAAGATGATACAAGTAGATCAACAGTACGTGTATGGATTTGGTAGGTGAACAACAACATCGTTTTTGTAGTACCTATTCATCCATCAACCAAACATGCTGATATCTGCTTGGTCCTCATTGAGCCGTTCTTGGGCTCATTTTTTCAACCACGACCACTTTGCATGACCATTTTGTGTCACCTTGTGATATATCTGGGATCAAACTGTATGTAACGTCCATGAGGTTGTATGAATGAACTGAAATATAGATATGAGAAATTTAAGACAGATGAAGGATGATATCGAGAATGAAAAATAGGACTCTGTTAAAAATTTATAGAGAGAGAGAAAGCTTACTTTGTTGCAGGAACTTTGTAGAAGAAGAATTATAGAGAGAGAGCTTACTTTGTTGCAGGAACTTTGTAGAAGAAGAAGATAAGATCTTTGTGTTGAAAAAGTAGGCAAGGGTTTAGTTGATATTGGTGTTTAGTCCCTGGAATTTGTAAGTTTCAGAAATGATTTTCTTGAAAGGCTTATGTCGGTCTTCTCATAGATAGATATAGGAAAAGAAAAGGTAAATAGAAAAAGATTATATATATGTATATGTATGTATACATGGTGTCTGTAAAAAATGAAAGACAAGAATTTCCATTGTACATAGGAGGAAGACTAATGAAGTCTATAAAGTTGAAATAAGAAATGATTGCTTTGAAGAGTATATGTGTTGGAAGGGGTGCACGTGTTATGAATTTAGTTTTTTAATTAAATAGGCTTATGTTTAGTTGCAGGGGTCCAAAATTGGTTAGGGAAAAATAATTTTTTAAATAATTGATGGACACGAAAAATGTTTTCGGTAAAAATGTAATTTCAAAGTCTGTGGTTGATTTAATTTTGTATATGGGAAAGAATTTTGCAATTTTTAAGGTATTTCAGTGTTTTTTGGTTAAATGCCTGTTTTTTTTCATTTATTTATTTATTTTTTGTCTTGAGCTGTAGACATTTTTTGGTTAATAGTAGGATTAAAACTATAGATCTCCATAAGAATAAATGGTCATTTAAAATGAATTTTTGTAGTGAAAATTTTGCACCCGTGGGCCGAGGCGCCCCTTGCCCTTTATGTGAAGGATTATGTGAAGGGTAATGTACCCCTAGCATAATTCTACTTTTTTTGAGAGAAGGCAGTACTAATACTTGGTCTGCCAAGAGCTTGTGGCAAAAGATTAGCATGAGTGTTGCATTGACACATTTGTTAGTATATAATATTTTCTAGTGTTTTTTGCTTTCTGAGGTATCTTGGGCAGGTGATATTTATAAAATTTAAAACGTATTTCCACGTATTTTGTTTGGTACATCATTATAAGCTCAATGGTGGATTTGGATTATAAACAAATTAAGAGCTGTGTATTTTTTATATTGAATAATACGGTACGAATAAAATAACAATAACCATACATTTGCCTTTTTTTTTTGTAGAAGTGCGAATCCGTAAGTTCGAAAGTATATGAAATCTATTATTATAATTAGAATAATGAACAGCGTGTGTGAATGTACCTGAAACGGATAAAAATAGAATTTTTTATTGAAGAGTTGTCTTTAAAATACTGTAGTGGATTCACTATTTATTCACTTGAAAAATGTAGAATGTATTCGTACATAATAGTAAAAGTAAAAAAACATATGAAAGTGAAAAAAAAAATAAAGGTTTAAAATAATTAAATAGTCACTTAATTCTAATCCTATGATAATGATAGTATGAAAAGTTTTATACCATGACACAAAGCAGCGGAAAAAAAATATCAAGACGATAATTTATGCTTAGTGTATATAAATATGCCAGAAGCAACCAAAATTTCTGTCTTTTTCGGTCCTTACGATCACAACATGTAATGGCTGCTTCTCAGATATACCGAGGTTCACAAAGGGCTCATCCATGTTCCCTGAAGCAAGGACTGAAATTGAACCATTGCATTATTGTTTTGGATGTAAAAGCATATAGTTATAATGCATAAGAATTATTTTTTGTTTAGCAATTGAACCATTGCTTTTATCTTTTTGTCATTTTTGATGTTTTTGAATTGTGTCATTCAATGATTTGTTGTAATGTTCCTCTAGATTTAAGAACTAAAAACCTCATTTTGTAGCATTTTGTAGGAGCAATATCAATTCATGACCAATAGGGCGCTTTCATTAGCTTAATATTTTTTTTCAATCACAAATCCTTTTTTTTTCTCACTTTTACTACATTATACCATATCTTCCGAATTTAAGTTTTGGTACATATGTTATTTTAACTTTTTGCTCATATATCATATTATTTTTTGACCCCCATATAACTTTACATTTTCTCCTATTTTATATTAAGTGTTTATGTATTCTTCCCCAGCATTTTCCATTTCTTTCCCATTATTTTTCATCTAAGAAATTTTATCATTTAGTGCAGAATGTTTTGAGTTTACTCATTTGGTAATGTAACAAGTCTCCTTTCTTTCATCATAATTGACAGAACCAATACTTGGACTGTGGCTTTTAGACCAAAAGCCTGCACAACCACAATGATGTTTGGATTACCCGCGCACTTCAAAACTGGTTCCATTATTAACTCCTCCGTGGAATAAACTTTCATTCCTGGAATGATATGTAGGCTTAATAAAATGGTACTACGCTTTATTTTAGAGAAAGAAAAAGCTGAAGAAAAAGAGAGAAAATGAATGAAGCAAGAAGCATTAGTTCTTTAGGAACCAATCATTTTGTTATAGAGATAATAAAATATCCCATTTTCTCTCTTTTATTGGTCAGGCCCAAGAAGATTGAAGTCACTGCAGTACTGGAAGGTAGTAACAAGGAAGCTGTATGATGGGAAATCATATCTTGAAGAAGCAAAGGAAAAAAAATAAAATAAGGCAACTAAGAGAGAGAACAAATAATAACAACTAGAAAAGTAAGGTTTTCATATTTACCAATAACAAAGAGAACTTCCAATGTAGGACAACACGAAAATATCCTACATATACAAAAAAGTCCATAATGCAACAGCCTCAACAACTACAATTACTATGTTACTTTTGACATGTTTTGTAAGGTGGATTAAACAATTTCACATGCCAAACATGCCCTTTATGTGTGAGCAAGTTTTATTACATAAATGTGGAATAAAAGTTCTTGTTACACTTCTAGGGAAGTGAAAATGGAATCTTTCCTTCAAATAAATACATTGCAAAAATATTAGAACTTTTAAATTTATATGGTTCTCTAAAAACCAAGGTCGAGAATGAGCTGCTAAACCTTGAAAAGTAGGCAGTAGACAGCCCAAAGTCAGTGTCTCAAATTCCACCGAGTCAATTTTGTATTTTGGAATTTGCTCAGTTATGATGGGTGCTGCTATTTTCTTTGCCATCTCGCAAATTGCCTGAGGACCTATACTTGTCAGTACACAATTCCAAAAAGGAAGAGTTATGACAAAAGCATGCAAGCAAACAAACCTTATCCAAATATGGCCACATAAGTTTTATTAATTTGTTGAGCAATTAATCTGCAAGAGAAAAAATAAGAACAAGAATAATTATCCTGTTAAAATTATGCAATAAAGTAAAGAAAAATAATAATTTTCCCAATCATAATCTGGATTTTTCATCCAAAGGGGTATCTCTGGGAGCAGCCGCTGGAGACTCTTAGAATCTTGCTCAACTAAGGGACGAACATCGGGATCTTAAACAGAGCACATTTCAGTGAATGAACATAAACTCGTCTACATTCGTTCTTCAATAATAGAGGGGCAGATATTAAGCCATTTCTGTTTTGCCTTTTACCTTATCTTGATAGTAGAATTTCATCATTTCATTAAACTCATCACAAGTTATATCCACTCAAAGTAGTGACTGTAATTCAAAATGGAAAATTTTGGAGGAAAGTTTCGAGGAAACTAAGCATTAAGCATAATTACACACATTGCTAAGTACATAAGAAGTAATGGAGGAATGAAAAGAAGAAGAACCTGAACTTAGATGAGACGATCATCCTGATGAAGTATTTGGAGAGACAAGGTGCCCTGAACATCAAAGTTTCCAATATCACCATCACGTTTTAAAGTTAAATTAAGCTTTCTTCAACTGTCAATATGACAGGATCAATTGGTGTTGGAGCAGCTAGCTTGGACTGACCAACGCGGGGTCTCAAAAAAAATGCAGAATTAGAGGAGAACTACATACCAAATCCACTGTCAATCAGGAAATTGAATGTACGCCCATCACAAGAGTGAGTGTGCTTGCTGCTGTTAGAAGGGAGCTTTTGCAGGCATTGGACGGCAATGGTACCAAAATTTACATAATGGTTCACAACAATCCTATTAGGATTTTACTCCCAGGATAGGTTTTAGTTAAGAACAACATGCAGTACAAGAAGCGTCCTCAAAAGATTCTTGCACATCCAGCAATTACCCAAATGAAGCTTTTCAGAAAGGAAAAATCCCAAATTCGGAGCTCCGAAATTGACCGATGTGATGGTCACTGAAGAGATTGTACGATGCATGATCAGCCGAGTCTATTACTGAGTATAATCCTCTTCTAAAATAAGCCATATTTTGGTGATGAAAGACACTACCTACTACAATTTGTCTAGCATTTTTATTTAAATAGAGATAAGTACAAGTACAGAAGGTACTGAGGAAGCAAGAAACTCAATAAAACATTCCGCCAAGACTTCGTTAAATTCAAAGTATGATGAACAGTTTACTGACACATGAAAATTAAAATATCACTAATAGTACAAAAACATGGTTGCATAAACCCAATACTGTGAAAACAGGAAGTTCAAACTAAGTTCAGTAAGTAAAAAAAAAAAATCCTCGAAAGATCTGGGATAAAA